ACCGCCAACAGTTGTTCACAGTTTTGAGTACCGCCCTTCCCCCTACATGCATCAGACCTTGGCAAATACCTTCTCCCATTCTTCCCAAGTACGTTTTCCTGACTGCGTGCTTTGAGCGTTTTCATTGCTTACTTGGCATGCATTTGGCAAGAGATGTACAAAGAAGAACAAAACCTTCGATGCTGTTGAGAGGTATGGGGCAGGGCAGAAGAGAGAGGAGGGGAGGGGCATAGGCAGGTGAGGGACAAATAGGCCAGGTGACTGAAAGAATGAACGAATCCAAGGCCAACAAAGCCCCCGCCCAAGCAAGCTGGGGATAGCCGGCGGGCGCTGCACCCCGGCTGTCCAGGCGCTACAGTAGCACCCCATCACTGCTTGCAGAGGGACCACAGCACTGGGGTGCTGTAGTCCCTCTGCAACAAGTGGCGGCACAAGCCGCCCGGCGGCGGCGCCACCATCACCGCCGAGTGTCACGAGGTGCGGCGCGGTGCTGTGCTGCCTCTCCCGCCTCCTTCCTGCCTCCCCCCACTGCTTGGTGCTGGCAGATCTGGGGTGTCTACCTGGCCTAGAGTTGGCTCCACCTGCTCTAAGAGCCCCCACCTCTCGCTGGTGTGCAGGTGGAGCTGCCGAGTCTGGAGGCGGGCGTGGTGGCGGCGCAGGATGCCGACGTGTTCATCGGCATGCACGGTGTGCCAACGTGCAGCAGGCAGTGCGCAACCATGGCTGCCTGCAGAGGCTGTTTGCCCTCCCCGCCCGCCGCGTGCAATCACAACACCCGCTCACCCTGCCGCACCCCTGCCTGGCCGCGCCGTCCTGACGCCCCCTCCCGCAGGCGCCAACATGGCCAACTCCTGGCTCATGCGGCCTGGCAGCAGCGCCATTGAGATCAGCCCCTACGAGTGAGGCCTGGCTCCTTTGGGCTCAGCAAAGCCAATGCCCAGGTGCGCCTTGACCCGCTGCTTGCTGTTGTGGTGGTGGGACCCTTCACCCCAGCCTGCTGCTGGCATTCCTGCACTGGAGGCTGCTGTAGTCCCTCTACAGCCCCACTCCTTGCACCCCCCATCTGCACCGCAGGACCCCTCCTCCCAGCTGCTCTGGTGGCTGGCGGTGGTGTGCGAATCG